AGTGTGCGAAGGTCTATAACGACTCGCGATATTTCGCTTACCCTCGTTTGCGGATATCCGCCGATACCCCCCTGGCAAAGCAGACTATTACTGTTAACTGTGCTGCCTGCGAGCAGTCCGAGCTGAGAGTAAATGCCGAGAGCCATCTCGAAGGTGTGCTATAGCTGCCACTTGGGAGTAGTTGGGTGGACTACCATCTCGCAGGCAGGACCGAGCTACGATGCAAGTGTCATAGTTTTGGCCGGAGACCCCGTGCACAGCAGCCAGTGCAGTTCCCAACGGATGAGCTGTGGCTTGGGAAGTTGACCAGAGTCTCTCGGAATGGGAATCTCGGTGGGATACGTCTCAAGGTGAGTAGCAGCGACCACTGCCGTCCGATTCGTTCATCCTTCTCAAGGTTTTTCCAGCATCACCCGAGGCTCTGACTGAGGTCCTGGGCTCCCAGGATCAGCATAACGAGCGCACTAAATCTGCCTCCACTGCGGTCACCGCGTTCACAGCAGCGATAGGTAATGGCCAAATAGACTGGCTCTGCGTCCCTGTGACGGCCAATATACCACAAGTAAGTCAACCGTCGCAGCCTTGTACTGTGGCGATGCTGGGCGGCTCAGGTTAGCAGTCGGGAGCTATCAGCTGTGTTCGCCGTGAGCAGCAATGATATGGGTCGGCAGGCTCCTTTCATCCGCCGCTTACTGCTCGAGGGACACACCCAAGCGGCTCAGGAACGGATAGAATGGATTCCAGAGGTGCGTTGTGCATGCGTGGTAAATCTGCTGAATTGATCCAGCTTCTGTCCAGCCCACTCCTGTGGACCTCGAAGGCCTCACCGAATCACAGAAGTCGGCAGTTCGAGCCGCCGTCTCGTCCCGTCTTACGCTAATACAAGGGCCTCCAGGCACAGGGAAGACATTCGTAGTGGTCGCTATTGTCAAGCATTGGCTCAAGTAGATCACCCGGGTTCGATCCCTGTATGTGTCGTTTGTAACTTTGAGCTCGGTCGCAGGACTAATCCCGAGTTCCCGATACTGGTATGTGCTGGAACTCATGCAGCTCGAGCACTACTCCATGTCCAGCTGGAGGCTCAGGGTATTTCAGTGACGCCACCTCCCGTCTACAGTGGCATTGAGGAGGAGAACAACCAAGTGGGCCGATCAAAGCGATACCGGTCTAAGACAGGCAACGCCTCAATAATTTTGTGGCACGCGAATGAGTGCTCATAGATACCATCTTACCTGGGACTGTGTATGTAGAAACAGTCTACAGTGCAGCTTTGGTGTCTAGCAGGAAGCTTCCTCGAGTGATAGTAGATGAGGCGAGTCAGCTGACCATCGCAGGAACGCTGCTTCCGATAATGCAGGTATATAACACTCAATGTTAAACACAATGTTAAACATTGTGTACAATATGTGTGTTCAAGCCACTGTCAGGGCGCTGAACAAGTTATACTACTCGGTGATGATCGCCAGCTTTCGTCTGTTAGTGGAGGCCTCAGCCTTTTCGATGAACTACTTGATTCTAAGTAGGCACTCTATGCACAATCTTGTTGCCGAAGTCATTTGACTCGTTGCTGATGCAATCATTATCGACAAAACAGATTTGATTCTTCTCGGACTATCATATTACCCCTTAGTAGTGATGTAATGTTATGCCGTGTGATACCAGTGCATCCTTCGATAACGTTATCAGCTGCTGGTTTTTAGCTTGGGACCGCCTAAGCTCCTCCGCGAGCAGTTTAGGATGCACCCTGAAGTGGCGGCATTTTCAAGCCAGCACTTCTATGACCATCAGCTTACCAGTCACCCAAGCTGGAAGTCAAAGTTTTGGCCCCCTCTAATGTTGCCGCCTATCTTCGCAGATCGAGTCGTCTCTGTTCATGGCAGTCGTGTTGTCTTTGTAGACACCGGGGGTAAGCTACGTATAGGAACAACAGTGATGAGGATAGATTTTATGCAGGGGCCACCCGAGAGGCTTTCGACAAGGGTTGTGACAGCTACTATAATGTACAGGAGGCTGACGCAGTTATCCAGACGGTTGACTCCCTGCTCGCCACGGGTGCTGATGACTCCGATGTGAGCTCGATGGGTCACTTGCTGAGGTCACCAGTGTATTGACAGATCGGAGTGGTGACGCCCTACGCAGCGCAGAGAACTTATCTGAGGCGCCAGTTGCATCTCATTCCTACTAATATTGTCGATGGTGCCTACGCTGACAGTGATCATCGCAAGTAAGCTGCTTATGCTCCGAACCAGCGCGTACGGTTCACTCAGGTGCAGAGAGCTTGGTCCTAACACAAGTATCCCTGACCCCATTGTAGATTCAGTTGACGCCTTCCAAGGCAGTGAACGATCCTGGATCGTATTCTCGGCGGTGACCCACGGTCGGTTCTGTCAGTTTTCTGATGTCTATGTGTTAGGTTCGAAGTAACCCTGAGTACTCGGTAGGCTTCCTGAATGACTATCGTCGTGTGAATGTGATGCTCACTAGAGCTCGATATGGAGTGAGATACATCACGATGTCCGTAGTTCAGCGATTGCATCGCAGGTCATCGTCGTAGGAGATCGAAGCACTTTGCAGGTTTCAGAGCCTTGGAGGGCATGGCTCAGCTGGGTATACGACAATGGCACGGTTGTTCGGCTAGACAAGGAGAGCCTGAGTCGAATAGCTGCGGTGAGCTTCCAATCCTGATCCACCGATTCCGTATCCTTATACTGCTGCTATTCTGTAGCTACGAGGGCTTTACTGGTGTTCTTACATTCGTTAATAGACTCATAACGGCCACTCGAAGCGACTGTCTATGACTCTACCATCTACCATCATTTCGGTTTTTTAGACTCCGATGCCCAATGCCAGGCGAATCCGCTTTGCAATGGACCGTTGGGACCTCGGTATTTCGATGGAAGCGGCCTATGGAAAGGTCCAGAATTTGCGTCCTCTCGCAGAGGCCTGTGTCTGGGCAGCTACTAGCGAGTACAATACTGTTGAAGTGAGCGCCACACTACGACGTTCATCGGTCCCTCAGCATCGTGCTTATCCAGCCAGAATTTCCTCAGGAATCCGCCGCTCCTCGTCTGTTGCATCAGGTACAGCTGGACGAGAGGACCGGAAATGTGATTCATTGTCTATGCACATGCTCCGATGCCAGAAGGCATCATGGTCGGTGTGCTCATGCAGCTGCACTTGTCATCAGAGTAGGGTAGAGAATGCCTTCGGAGAGTTGTTGTTCGTGGACCTTCAGGTGCGGCAAGTAGCCTTAGGCATGACGCGCCAATACGCCCAGTCCCAGTTCCTCCTCCAACGGGAAGCGCCGATGAGTATAGGAATTCAAACTCATTCATACGTACACTGACTTCCGTTGATTTGACCTTGTTACTCGTTTTTGAATCAACCTGTATTGGTTTCCCTCATAGTGTCTTGAATCAATTCACAGCACATACTTTAACATGCTGAAACTCGGACGGATTCGTTCAGTCATACTCGGTATCGCTACCGGCACTGTGGTATGGACCCTAGTTCTCTTGGCGCATATCGGTGACCATACCCTGAGAGCATCAGACGACAGCCCAGTCGAGCTGGGTCTATTCTGCAAGGCATGCACAGCTGATCAAATGGACCTACTCTGGCGACGTTATAATAGAAGTTGTACGAACGCCCGCCCATTGCGACTGGAGATCGCGTTCAATGGCCTGAATGAACCCTTAAGCGTTACTAACGAAGTCTTCGAGGTTACTGTCGCGACAGAACAGATGGTCCACATCAAGGCCAACGGCTTCCAAGGGGCTTTGCGAGCTCTAGACGACACTTGCGGTACGGCGCGTGGTTTCGTCCAAAAAACGCCAACTCCTTTGGGCCTGGCTTACCGTGGGCTCCTCTTGGATATCTCACATGTCTTTTTATCGGTTGCGGAGTTGACGCATATAATCGAGTTTGCGTCACAAGAAGCAGGCCTCAATGTTCTGCACCTGCACAGCACTGATAATCAATGTTTCGTAATCGAACTGGCCTCGGCGCCCGAGCTAGCCCATAAGAGTCAAGGAGCATGCAGCAGGGGAGGTGCCGTTCGAGGATATTACACGAAGGGAGAAGTGGAAGAGGTCTTCGCAGTGGCTGCTTCATTGGGTATCATGATAGTGCTTGAGCTAGACATCCCAGGTCACGCGGGAGCCTGGAAGAAGTCTCATCCCGAGCATGTTGTTGAGGATTACCTAGATCCTAATAGTGAGTCTATGTGGCAGCTGTTTTCTACTGTACTTACTGAGCTCGAGGAGCTCTTGCCAGTCACTGCACTACATGCCGAATTGCCCCTGGGGCTTCATCTAGGTGGAGATGAGGTTTCCAATAATCGGGCGCATCGAGCATTCGAAGCTAAGCTGAAAAAGTATAGACGACGTGATGCACGTCTCCACAATATGCGTTGGGAAGAATCCCTCTCAGTTGGGGGTGTTGAGCACAATGACATAGTTACAGTCTGGAAGTCCTTCGAGATGTCCGGCAGGATCCTACTTGAGGATGTGATCACTCGAGGGTTCAGTGCTATCAACATGTGTCTCAGCAGACTTTACCTCGACGCGAAGTTCCAGCCTACAGTTGAAGCTATCCGCAAATTCGATGCATACAGGAGTGGTTCACAGACACCAGGCCCTAATGGTCACCTTGTCAAGATAGAGCATGAGCATTTGGTGCTTGGCGCAGCTGTGAGCTGCTGGGGTGAATGCATGACCGCTCTGGCCAAAGATTTAAGTGAAGATAGACCATACAACGATTTTTGGAATCTTCTTGGAGAAGCTGGATATAACTTCTGGCACACGGAACGACCTTCGCGACGGCGCTCGTGATGTGGAAAGAATGCGATGATGTCTGCGCTGCTGTTGAGTTCCGAGTATACTATGACGGATGTCACATTCGCAGCATCATGTCGATCTATGCGCATGTAGTGTAGTCCAGGCGTCTGAGAGTGATAATCATTTGAGCTGCACTTGCGTGGTGCAAAATACCGATCACCACACATTATGAAAGATAAGACGCGTTATGGCTCCTAGGAAGTCGAAAGTCGAAGTTCCAGGTATATAAAATTATGGGTAAACGGTCTTTACATATATGATCATACATTTTATACTATATACATCTTACAGCATATATTTTGGCTAACGACGTTGGCCCAACGTCTGCGTATGTAATCTGTTTCGATTTCATTCTCTTGTTTTCGTGGCGTGCGGCTCTCTGCTCATGATGTGCGCACTATATTGTGGCACGTGACGTTCCACCCGTTTCTTCGTGAGTAGACTAACCACTGGCTTATCATGTTGCTTGGCCTCGTTGAAAGTTACGGTCGTTAAATTTTTGGCATCTCCTGGGGAGTTTTTCACCGTCAGTGTTGCCGAAGGTATGCCAAGATAACACTAGGATAAGTTTCGTTTTCCCCTTCGAAATGTTCTATCGGGGAGTCGTGGCGGGGATCATGGGGAGGAACGATGGTGGGCCATACTTCGAGGAACGTTTGTTGTAGATTGTTATGGTAGATGGTTTGAAGCCGTCGGATATTTATGAACAAAGAGGGGTTGACCAACAACTTCTCACATTCTTCCAGCCCATCGGAACTGACTCGATAAGCTCCATCACATACACCATAATGGTGTCACCATTAGTGATGGTCCATCACTACACTCATGCTGATGGGTGACCCATCAACCTGGTCACTTCTGGAACAAGAACACTGTCAAGAGAAGAGATTACCATCCAGGGAGTATGGCATGACTAGTGAAACGACCAGATGGGTGAAGTCAGAGCTTCTGCCTCAGAGGATACGCCTCCCGTGATGGCAGGTCTGAGAATTCTGGAGAGTCTGGTTTGGATTTGGCCCAAACCGTTCGGGTCTCGTACTGCTAATAGAGAAGCGATGTTTCCGAATAGTTGCTCGGTCTTTTTCGCAGCGGCACGATTAGGCAATGAGATGTCATCCTCAATCGTTATTCGGTCTGCATGAGGCCACTGAGGGTTTGGGTAAATGTACAATCTCAACCACCGTTGTTTTTAGATAGTCTGGGTTTACGACCTGCGTATGTGTTACAACCGTCTTGATTTTTTAACTGCGCTTTATCTAACGCCAAATTTTTGAACTGAGAATTTTGCCTTAGCACCCATAGCACAACACACAGCGGTAGAGAACTATCTGGTACGGCACCTCCTCTTCCTTAGCGGTTGCACATGCCTACTCAGGTGGAACTGCTAGAGGGCCTGTTCTATGTTAGTGACGATTCATGCTTAGCCGGGCACACTCATGTCCAAAGTAATGGCGACGAAAAGTCATCGTCATTGTGGAGGGATCTCACTGTGTTAAGGCTTCAAAATATTCCACTTATGTAGGCAATGCTAGGCAACTATTTCAAATTATGAAAACAGATGGATAACCTATCATAGATTCATGGAACCTTCACTTGCTATCTACACTCTCCACGAGTACTTCGGTTTACGAGTTCACAGAGTAGTGAAAAAACTGATACTGCTTGAGGTGTGAGATTCCCGTACGAGGGAAGGCTGAGCCTGATATGATATACAATATTTCATAACACATGCACGGGTAGTAGGATCATAATTTATGCCTCTTTATGATCCATAAAGAGGCAGCTGAGCTGCCGCAGCTCCTTCAGCTGATGATCGATTCATATCAGGAAACTCGTCATCTTTAGGAGTCGCTGGCTTGAGCTTATTACTTTCTTGAAGGCTGGCTCGTGCTT